ATTATTATTATTTTTTTCTTTTTTCTTTTTTTTTCTTTTTTTTTTCTCCTTATTTTCTTTTCTCTCCTTTCTTTTTTTTCTTCTCTTAATTGTTTTTATTCTCTTCTTTCCTTATTTTTTTTTCTTTTCTTCTCTTAATTTTTTTTCTTTTTCTTCATTTTATTTTATTTTCTTCTCTTCTTACATATTAATTATTTCCTTTCTTTTTTCTTATCTATTTTTTATTTTTTATTTTTTTTATTTCTTTATTCCTTTTTTTTTTCCTTCTCTGCTCTCCTCTTTCACCCACGACGGTCGAAACCCTTGAAATGGCTTGATTTCTAGCAATGAGCTCAAATTCAGTAACTGCACCAGCACCGGAATGACCCCTTGAGCCATTGTGATGAGAGAGAGAGAGAGAGAGAGAGAGAGAGAATTGTAAAACGAGAAACGTAGTTAGAGTGTCATGCGTTTTTGTCAGTGATAATGTTTGAGGTAATGAAAACACAACAACAAAATTACATATAAATGGCAACCGATCAACCGATCAATTACTGTTCGAATATTGACTAAATTGATATTAATGATTAGGCTTTTACTAATTGATTGGGAACTATGAATAAGTTGGGAATTAATTGGTTTAGTGTGGCTTATGAAAACTAATTGATTATTGAATCAATTAGGTTTATTATATAAAGGATCCCTACAATCAATTGTGATATTTGAATATCCCTTATATTCCAATGGATTGTACAATCAATTGTGATAGTTCAAAACTCTGGCCACTAATCGATTGTATAATCAATTGTGGTCTTTCAAACCAATCGATTTTGTAATCAATTATGATTTTCCATTCACTCCAATATGCTATACTAATTGATTACACAATCAATTGTGTTTCAAATTTTAAAAGTTATGATGTTTTGTTAATGTTGTTATGATTTTCTGGACAAAATTACAATCAACATGATATGTTATGATTCATTGATAAAAGTTATGATAGTTTGTTAATGTTGTTATGATTGTGGGAAAAAAAGTTATACTCAATGTGTTATGGTTATGATTCATCAGTAAAAGTTATGACTTGTACCACCAAAAGTTATGATTTGTCATGGTGAATCATAATAAAAAATGTTACGATTCAAATGTTATGATAATTAATTTGAAATAACTATATTTGTTATGAGTTGTCATTATATTGTTATGATATATAGTGTCTTTGTTATGATACTTTGGTGAATATTATGACATTGTTATGATTCATTGTAGTGTTGTTATGATATTTGAAAAACGTTATGATTCTTTCATGTAACCTGTTAAATGACCTGTTTAGCAAGTTACTTTTTATGACGTGGCACAATATGAACCACACAATAAGTGCATATCATATGCCATTTTAGAAGGTGCACATTGTAGACTTTTCCATAATAAATTCATAAAGAATTAGTAAATTGTAATGTCATTAACGGGTCAAAAAATACATACTTGGCATAGATGTGAATTTTATCTTTTATTTTTAGACTTATTATAATGAATTTTTTAAAAAAAATTGAGGAACTTTAAGTTTTAGAAATAAAAATAAAAAAATAATGTGAAGATTGAAAAATCAATTATACTGAGTATTTTTGTATTTTGCATATTTTTCAATTTTAATTTATTGAGACTTTAAAAAAAATTTAAAAAAAAAACATTAAAAATTTGCTAAATAAAATAAATAAATTTGTTCTGGACATGTCATAGGTGCGAATTGTTTAATTGTCATTTGTTAACAATATGATTGCACGGGAACAGATTTCACCAATTATTAGCTGCCACATGTAAAACAATTACCTCTTCAAGAAAAATTATTCCATAACACGTGGCTATACTATAAAACGATCTGAACTATCTATTATATGGGTCTAACATCCCAAATCAATTTGCGTATGACCACATCACAGGCATTGGTAATCGTCTAATCGCCAAACCCAACAGTGGATCACTTTGTCAATACATCATCGTTATTCTGCGTAACACCAACCAAACACATTACACGTCAGAGCCATGCCTTATACCCAATTTGTTCAAGAAAACTTCAAAATCTATCGATTGATCGTCGAAAACAAGCCAGGCCAAACCAAGTTTGACGATTCAATAGGGTTCTTTGTTCTAGGGTTTCTTTCACTTTATATTTCCTTAATTAATTTCTTCTTCTGATTCGTAACCTTGATTATCGTCTCAAGTTCTTCTTATCCAATGGCGGCCAGTTCTCATAAGGGCGGTGACTTCTATGGCGCCACTCCATACAGATCGAGGTATTTTCATAATCAATTTCTCCATTTTTATTTGTTTTTGGATATTTTCTGTTTGATTCTCGAGAATTTAGAAGAAAAATAATGAAACTTGAGTCTTGTCACTGCAAATTCCGCCTAATATAATTACGTTTCTTTTTTATTTTCTAACTCTCTCGTTCACTAGTGATGTTGAATTTGTATTGTATGTATTATTTGCATTTGTGAATGCAGACAAGGGCTTAGCACGCAACAAGTGGCTAGTTCAGATGAAACCCAATTACGGATTGATCCGATGCATGGGGATTTGGATGATAAGATCACAGATCTCCGTAAATAAGTTGAGCAACTGAAATTTATAAGGCTTTTTTTTTTTTGTTACTCAACTTTTCTTGTAATTTCTTGTTGATAAAATTGGAGGCATGCTTAGCTATTGTGACACCAACGACGAGATTCA